AAATGCACTTCCACTGCTTAACTAAAGGGAAGTCTTCATTTTCCAGTTTAACAAGCAAGGACTCTGTTGGGTTTGTGTTGTTTGGTTTTGTTTTTTTTTTTGGTTGACCCATCCAGCAAGATGGAGATGCTGTGCAGCTGACAGCACTTTATCTATAGCCAAAGTCAGCCCACTGAAAGCTAGAGTTCCCTGGTTCTGGTGCTCCTGGCTGTTTGTACTGATAGCAGGTTAAAAATAGTTTAGGTTTTTGGGTATTGTTTTAATTTGAGGTCCCTTCAATTTCCCCCATTAATGCTGAGTGTTTGTGTGTTTCCCGCAGCTCCTGCCCTGAGAATAGCCTCTACCTGCACACGAGAACCTTGAAACGGAAGCAAAGAGCAGCAAGCCTCCTAGGGGACGGCTAACCCCAAACAGAAACTGCTTCTCAGGGGGACTTTTTAAAAATCTGTTGATTTCCTGACAGGTTTGCTTTTAATGAGCGTTCAGCCCTGCAAGATGGTAATATAGATGTCTGTGCTAAGGTGGGGCAGCTCTATTTTAGGAAAAAATTGAGTCCATTAGAGCCTACAATTATCTATAGAGCCATAGCTTGGTCTAGTGAGTGATGACAGGCTGCTAAAGTCTTTTGCAGCTCATTTCTGGGATTTGCCCGGTGTAATCCTAAACCCTGTAAATGAAACCTGACATTGAATGTTGTGTACTGGCCCCAGCAGCTACAGCCTCCTGACTGAGCAGCCCCTTGCATCTTATTTGCATCTTTTTTGGACCCTGTTGTATGTTGCTTGTTTCAGTATCAATACCAGAGAGAGAGTGGCACAGGTTGTGGATTAACGCCTCCCAAGATGCAGGGTTGATAGCCTGGCTGGCTGCAGGGTGTTTGTACTATGGCTGGACACACTGAAATCTGGCTTGATATTTAGTTGATTTGTCTGTAGTTTTGTAAAATGTTTTCACAATTAAAAAAAAAAATCCCTTTTTAAATGTCTAAATATTCCCTGCTTGTTGGGAACCAAATGTAACCTCGGGGAGAGTCTGAAAGGACGTGGCCTGTAAAAGCAAAACTGACTGTTTGTTTTGTTATCCAAGTGGAGGGAACCAGGGGCAGCGCTGGATTTTTACAGTGTCACATCCAATGATCATTCTAAGGGACTGTTAATGCAGAGATGAAGGAACTTGCTTACAAACAAGTTTTAAGCTGATGGCTCCATTGAGCACTTGCTCTACAGAGACCCCTCCAGCTCCCTGCCTGTGACTCTGGAACAACTGTAGAAGAGGGCCCCAGAGAACCCTTCCCGGGGTGGACATTGGTCTAATGCATGTTGTGATGGGATGTTTCAGCCAAAGCTTCAAAAGCAGCACATTCATTTTGGGTACCTAGCTTGAGACACCAGGGTCTGATTTTCAGAGGTGCTGAGCACCCCCAGTTCTGGCAGGAAGTCGGTGGGGTGTGAGATTTGGCTTTCAAAAGGTGTCACCACTCTCTCTTGAAAACGCTGGCTGCCAGAGTTAGTGTGTGCTCAGTGGATCCCCATGTTGTGCAGACAGGATCAATAAAACTTCTAGAAGTGGCCCTTACTGCATTTTTGCTGCTTTGATGTCTAGACATACACACACTTGCAAAATCCTTATTGCAAGCTATATATAATTTTTAAGGCGCTCCCAGTAACCAGGGATGTGACCCTGGCAGCAGCGAGCCGGCCATTGCCGTTGAGATGGGCAGCCAAAGTTGCTCTCGAAATTTCTGGTTCTCAGTTAAGCTTGCTCTGCTGGTTTTGCCAGTGGTTCAGGCACTAGCCTAGGACTCGGATGACCTGGTTCAGTTTTCTGCTTTGCCGCCATCTTCTTGTTTGATCTTGGGCACGTCCCAGGGCCGGATCATCGAAGGTACTTAGGTGCCTCATGGGATTCACAAAAGCTCCTGAAGCAGGCGAGGTGCCCGGTTTTGAGTTTTGAACCCCATGAGGTGTCTCTTTGCACCTTTAGGTACCTAATACCGGTGCAGATCTGTGTCTCAGTTCCCCGCTGTGCCACACCTGCCCCCACCCAGGGTGTGTGTGACAGCAAATCTGTTACAGATTGTGAGGTGCTTGGATACTGTGGTGTTGGGGGACCCACACAAGTGCCTGCGATTAACACTTACTACCCTTGTAGTTAGGACCAGGCTAATCCTGGCCCAAATGCCTCACGTTCCGATTGACCTCTCTCGGCCTAGGTGTTAGAGAGACACTGTTCATGAGCAGCTGCTGTGACTGGAGGGGGGCAGGGGCAGCAGACTCTTGGTGCTGTGGTGCCTATTACTCCTCCTCTCAGGACTTGGCTGCAGTTGGAGGGATTGGGATCTCCTCTCCTCCTGTCCCTGCTCTCTCTCTCGACCCATTCTTCCCACTGAGGAGGATGTGGCAGGCTTTACCCTGTGCCTTCCCTATTGGTGGCCAGTGGCAGGTGTCTCAGGCCTGGCCTTGTGTCTCTGGCTGTCCCCAGGTTCCAGAACACTCTCCTCACACTGTTTCTTTCCTTTCAAGCTGTCTAACACGGCAGAGCTGGAGCGGCGACTCTCTGACCTGGAGCTGGCCCAGATGCTGTCTAGGCAGAAACTGGAGCGAGCCTCTGTCGCTGCTGAGCGCATCGTGGCCTCTGACCCTATCGGCAAGCTTGCCGCCTTCCAGGCGGAAGTGAAGCAGGCCATCAGCGAGCTGAGAGGAGAGCTCCCCTCCGGGACCGAGCTGGCTGAGCTGCAGAGCCAGCTGGAGCAGCTGAGAACCACCGAGCTGGAGATGCTGAGGCAAGAGGTGGCCGGGCTCTTGTCGTCGGGTTCCAGGCTGGAGCAGAGCGTGGCCTCGTTGACCGGCTCCCTCACCAGTGCCCAGAGGAGCCTGGAAGAGAAAGCTCATAGCCTGCAAGCCATGCAGCAGGAAGCGGAGCACGCTAAGGTGGCTGGCGAGAGATTGGAGAACAACATTGGCTCCCTGTCAGCCCGGACCTTCATCCTGGAGGGAAGCCTCAACCGCACCACACTGCTGGCACGCGCCCTGCAGCTGCAGCTGGAGCAGAACAGCAAGGCTCTGGCTGGACTGCAGGAAGTGGCAGCAAATCAGAGCGGGAGCGACAGCTCTGAACCTCGGCAGCTGGAGAACCTCAGGTATGATGGCCACTTGAGGCTGATGTTTGTTACGTGTATTGCGGTAGCGCTGAGAGGCCGGGCCCCATTGTGCTAGGTGCAGTACAAATGGTCCCTGCCCCGGAGCATGGGATTTGAACACATCTGGCCAAGCGGAGCCCTGCAGAGCCCTTGTCACAGAGAGCAGAGCCACGTGCCATGTCTGAAAGGCTTAACACCAAAGCAGGGGTGGAGTTATTGAGGGGACATGGCTAAAATCAAGGGGCTGCAATTCAGAGCAGGAGCATTTGCCCTGAATACAAGGGAGGCTTCCCGACAGTGAGACCTGCCTGGAGAAGCCTCTGGAGGGAGATGGTGTTCACGCCATCACTTGGGACACACACAAATAAACTGGGTGGCTATGCTGGTGCTAGCTTAATCTAGTTAGCATGGGTAACAGTAGTGAAGATCCAGTGATAGGCTTCAGTACAGCCTAGCAACCAGACTACAAGCCACTGGGGCTCTGTCTGCTAGCCCACTCTGAAGCTTGTGCAGCTGAATGAAGAGCTGGAGTGAACGGTAGCATTCTTCAGAGGCCATTAGAAAGCAGTCTGCCTCCTCCTCTGGCTTCGTGGCATCACCTCTCTGCACTCACTGCAGGCTTGTATCTCAGACTGCTGCTCAGTGTGTGTGAGTGCCCAGTGGCATGTGAGCCAGCTCCATGGGGACCTGTGGGTCTTGACTCTGCTCTCTGGGCCTTCCAGGGTGCAGATCCAGCAGCTGCACATGGAGAGATCGGCCACGCAGGAGCGGGTGAGCGAGGCGCTGCACAGCATTGCTGACCAGAGGAGAGAGCTGCAGGGTAGGATCTCAGAGCTGGAAACGGCTATTCATGCTCTTCAGGGCCATGTGACTCAGGTGAGGACTCTGGGCCACCAGGCTATGGTCACTCCACTGTTGCCTAGGGAGAGGAACAAGCAGTACAGTAGAACCTCAGAGGTGCAAACACCTCGGGAATGGAGGTTGTTCTTTCGAAAGTTTACAACTGAACATTGACTTAATACAACTTTGGAACTTTACTATGCAGCAGAAAAATGCTGCTTTTAACCATCGTAATTTAAATGAAACAAGCACAGAAACAGTTTCCTTACCTTGCCAAATCTTTTCTTTTCTTTTTTTTAACTTTCCCTTTATTTTTTTAGTAGTTTATATTTAACACAGTACTCTGCTGTACAGCTCGGCTGTCTGATTGTGTACTTGTGGTTCCAAATGAGAGGTGTGGTTGACCGGTCGGTTCGTAACTCTGGTGTTCTACTGTCCTGTTAGAGCCAGGGGGAGACGCTGGCCAGGTGTCATAGGAGTTCAGAGATGAGATACAAAGCTGGCTAAGGGGTTCGAGGAATGAGAATGATTCCCTTTACATGATGAAGGGTGAGGGGAAACAGAGCTACCCATGAGAACAGGCCAGGTCTGGCTATTGATCTTGGAAGGGCTGGAGGGATGTTGGGGGACACATAGGTGCTGGCTTTCTCCAGGCCTGTAGGGTACTCAACCCACCGCTCTGCCCTAGGTTCTGCCCCCATCTGTCCCCTTCTCCCAAGTCCCCATCGCTGCCCCACCTCTTCCTTGACTCTTCTTGCCCAGTTCCATCACCTCTCCTGAGCATGCCTCATCCCTGCTCCTCCCCATTTCTCCCAGAGCCTCCTGCACACTGTGAAACAGCTGATTGTGGCGGGGGGGGGGGGGCTGGGAGGGGGGGGGGGGGGGG